AAATTCTGATATTAAAAATATTTTTTGCTGGAGTCGAACTTGTTCTTTTTATACCCTTTATTATTTATCGAATCGATTGTTATTACAAACTGCTCCACCTAGCGGCGAATACTTGAAGTGCTCATAACTTTTTAATCTAATCCGGTTGCGATTCTGATAAAAGCTTTAAAGTTACGCCATCTATAAAAGTCTTTTCAAATGTCACAGCTTACCTACACGCCATCTACAAATCACCATCACCGGTTGTTATAAAATTTATTCGTAATTTTATATACTTAAAATGTGTGTGCCGCCTACACAACCTTATGTTGAGATCGCGGGTAGGTGGCGCAGTACAATCTCGTTTTGCTGTTGAATAAGAATCAATATTATTGCCAGAAAGTCCTTAATTCGCTTTGATATTATTTAGTACACTGACAAGGTTGGTGTATCAGCTTTCGAATCATGGCTAAGGTCGACGTCTCGGCTATTATCTGTTACGGCTATGTTACGTTGCATTAACATATTTTTTGTCTCGAGGAAAGTGATTCGTTTTGTCGGGAGTGTGTACCGGCTAAAATCTGTCTAAAAATGTTTCAAATCGGAAAATTCATTAAAATGGTTGTAATAGCGGATTGGTGGGGATTCACTATCGCCACCTAGGCTTCACGTTATGTGGCGTGTTAGTGAAATCTCTTAAGCAGCCGATAGGAATGCACGATAGGTGGCGCTTTTGTGTTAGGCCAGTAACGGGTATCTGATAGTCAAGGCCGTCGACTATAGCGCTTTCTCTTGTTTTAAAATATAGAATATAAGGTAATTGCTGGGAGTATCCACACAAAACGTCATGTTTGTTGGCTGAGTAACGGGTATTTGATAGACAAGGCTGTCGACTAAAGCGTTTTCCCTTGTTTTTTAGACTTTTACAGCTGCGGCAACAAAAATAGCACCAATGTGTATGTAATTCTTCTTTGTGCACCAGAATGGTCATTTTTTGCAATATTTTTACTCTGTTTGTAAGGGTAAGTAGGGTTACATATCTTTTAACTAAAATAAAAGTGGTTACGCCCACAATGCGGATGGCTTTTAAAACTTCGATACATTTATCAAAAAAGTAGCAAGGTTATGCGGCAACAAAAATTGCACCACTCAAAGAAAAGGCTTAAAAAACTTAAAAATACCGAGATTTGAATATTTTGTATACCCGTTACTCGTAGAGTAAAAGGGTATACTAGATTCGTCGGAAAGTATGTAACAGGCAGAAGGAAGCGTTTTCGACCCCATAAAGTATATATATTCTTAATCAGGATCACCAGCCGAGTCGATCTAGCCATGTCCGTCTGTCCGTATGAACGCTGAGATCTCAAAAACTATAAGAGCTAGGCTATTGAGATTTGGCGTGCAGATTCCTGAGATTCCCGCGCAGCGCAAGTTTGTTTCAGCAGAGTGCCACGCCCACTCTAACGCCCACAAACCGCCCAAAACTGTGGCTCCTACAGTTTTAATGACCTAAAAAAAATTTGCCACGCCCACTTTAACGCCCACAAATCACCCACAAACTTCAAAAAATCGTAAGTATGAACGTGGATATCTCGGAAACGATCAATTATAGAGAATTGGGCTCTCAGATTTAGATTCCGTAGCCTTATACCCAGCGCAAGTTTGTTACGCGAATATGCCACGCCCACTCTAATGCCCACAAACCGCCCAAACCTGTGGCGCCCACAATTTTCATGCTAGATAAAAAATTATAACTGAAATGTATTGGTCTCGTCAATGCCTATTGATTGATCTAAAAAAAATTTGCCACGCCCACTCTAACGCCCATAACGCTTAAATCTGTATACCGCCGGTAGGTGGCGCATTTCAATCTCGCTTTGCTGCTTGAATATCTCCATTTCCCTTTGGTTACTTTAGCTGAGTAACGGGTATAGTCGAGGTACTCGACTATAGCGTTCTTCCTTGTTTTGGTTTATAATTCCAAAACAAATTAATTTTGTATTACGAATAAAATTGCATCATAATTTCTGAGCTATTAAAGTGAAAATGTTGATACGATATGGGTTTAGATTATGATATGGTACCATTATTATAGTACGAGAATATGCCGATATTATTCTTTGCAAATGTGAATTGGGGACTCAATTTTGGATTTGAAGGTTATCTAATGTGAATTTTAAGTCTTTTTCATCTAAACATAAGCAACTTTCAGCCGCCAGACCATAAAAGAGCTTCCCTTTAATTATGGGCCTTCAAATTCACCCATGCTCTGCAGTCTAGGGAGATTTTTTTTTTGTACGTCAAGCGCACAATTTTTGTTTATCTACATTATGTCCAACATTTTATGTACTTACAAATATTAAAAAAAAATTCAACTTGATAGGCGGCTTAAACGAGACCTACTTGCATTCATGCACATGACTTTTTAACAGTTATGGGGTCATTTCGGCTTTCGCACTGTGTTGTGTTCTTGTTTTAGGTAACTACTAACCATTATTTTAAAGAATTCGACGATTCAACTTAACTTATCTTTTGCATGCCTTTATAAATTAGCTTTTTGAATGTCCTTCTATTTTTATCATTACAGAGCGCCTAATGACCCATTGGGAACACTATTTTATTCATTATGTTACCAATTCACTTAGTAGTACTTGTTCTTAATACAACAAAACGAAAAACAGGCAAAAACCTGAGCAAATGATGTTTTATACCTATACATATCTTGTTTTCAGAAGTCTTATTTTATTATTCCCACGTTTTCGGCCTAGTACTCAGATCGGCTAAGAGTTTCACTAGTCGAAAAATCCTGTTCTTTGTACTGTGACCGAAGTTTTCGAGGTTCACTCGCAATGCATGGTCTTACTGTCAAGCAGCTGGCTTAAACAACAGTTAAACGGAAATCAAATCAATAGAGCAATTTAAAATAGAAGTGTCTGCTGGTGCACAAAGAACTAAAATTAAAATAAATGGAATGTCAAACGAATGTTTTTATTTCTGTAAGTTAGTAGCTTAAAGCTTCTTTCCCGCGCTACCGCAGTCCAGCTCCGAGTCTCAATGGGCATATTGGACCTTGCGGAAGTGGGAGCCGGATTGGGAACCGGGTTGATCCGCTGATGCAGCAGAAAGTAGCCCAGCATCCTGGCAATGGCTGGCTATGGCTTCTCCAACTGTTCCTTAGCGGGCGCCCTATTTTCCTCCTCCTTATAGAAGCCAGCGCGTCCTCCAGCTCCGCTTAAGCTGCCAAGTAGCTGGTGGTGGTGGTATCCGCAGTCCCAATGGAGAGGTCGTCGGAGATCGTATTACTGGTGGACCGCAACAAAATTCTTTTGGTCAGATCTTACTTTCTTTGCGAGGACGCGCCCGGCAGGATGTCCACGTAGGGAGCGAAGTCCCACTCGGCATGTTCCTTCCCACTGGGATTCCCTAGCGGATATCCTCTAGCACTGCAACTATTCTGCGGATTTGCCCTGTTGTGGTATTGCTTCCTGTCGGTGAAATCTTACAATGAAGGGCCACAGCTTGGATTAGGCAAACTATTTCATCTGCACTGACCTCTTGCAGTCGATTTTTGGGTTTTCCTCCCATTTTTAATTTATAGTTTCCACACCGCCCTTGCACGAACACCGCCAAAGATTACATTTCTTATTCTTTGGGCCGCGGCTAAAGGCGTTCGTCGAAATTCACACGCTAAAGCTGGTACATCTGAGTACCGCGCTGAAAAACAGACCCGACGAAAAGCGTTAGTCGCTTATTTGCCTCTCGCTTAGTCCTGTGGTTAGCTCGCGGTTTTCGTCGATGTGAATACATGTGGTATTTTATTAGTATGCGGTCGCACTAATTCCATATGCCAGAGAGCGAGACAGAAAGTTGTGGAGGCCATGACGTCACAATGGCCAAACCGAATAGGACCAAATTGTGGGAATTAGATAAGGAGGCTTATTTCCAAAAAAAAATTGTATGCTGTTATTTGCGGGTATGTCTCAAGATTATGAGCATCACCACCAACCAATTTGGCAAAATTAATAACACAGAAATGACAAAAGAAAAAATTAAAAAAATAACAAATGGAACTTTGACATATTCTACCTTTTTTTATTTAGCAGGCGTCTTTGAATTATTTCCGTATTTTTTATACCCGTTTCTCATAGACCTAAAGGGTATACTAGATTTGTCGAGAAGTAGAAGGATCTGGAACACTAGCCGAGTCGATCTAGCCATGACCGTCTGACCGCCTATCTGTCCGTCCGTATGAACGCAAAGATCTCGGAAACTATAAAAGCTATAAAGTTGGGACTTGGCATGTAGATTCTTGAGCTTCTTGGACAGCGCAAGTGAGCTTATGCAGGGTGCCACGCCCACTCTAACGCCCACGGTTAAACCTGTCTAGCACCTACATGTTTCAAGAATTTGTAAAAGTGTAAATGCAATTTGGTTAAAGTTTAAGCAATTCCCCATTTCCCTCGCACTCCCCTTAGCTGAATAAGGGGTATTTGACAGTCGATGGCATCGACTACAGAGTTCTCTCTTGATTTATTAATTAATTTTAAACATTTATTTTATTATTTCATTTAGCATATTCTTGCGCTTTTCCGACATATCTAAAAGGGGCAACCGCGTTCTTCTGGCAGCTGCTTGGGAGGACCTTACCAAAAAACAAATACAACCTGCCTTGAACAGGGCTGCATCCGATATATGTATACCTTGGCGAGTAGTTCAAAATATACTGTGAGTGACTACAACTGGGGCCATTCTGAAAATTGGGATTTATTGTTTTATTATCGAGATGAGTGAGTTTACAGTATACTGGATTGTATTAAGTCACCTAATTTATTTTGACATCTACGAAGTTTAACAATAGTTTAACATTTATTAATGCTTGTTAAAATATAAAACTACATTGAAAGAACCCTATTTGATAATTAAAGATTTAGGTATGTATTTGTATTGCAGGGTGGGTCGTCAGTTTGTATTAAGTATTTAGACATTGGCTTTCCACATCTTTGAAAATATTTTGTTGATTACGTTGCAATAGAATATATTATGGTCTATTACTTCTGTGAGACTATTTCGATTTTTGGTGGTGGCGTGATAGAAGATGGCCTTGTTGTTTTCGACGCCTCTATACTAGCTCTTCGCGCAGCTGCGGCCATGTATGACCCGTAGTACCTACTTAGCATGTGCGGATCAACATGGTTGAGTTCAATATATGCATTTGGAATGGCTACTGCCAGGGTGGACGGCCTCGCGGCAGTTGGGGGCCCTGCAGTGGACTCTGCCAGTGGACATTCCTCTAGTGAGCTAGACTCCTCGTGTTGGCTACTACTACTGCCCAAGGACCTTGCTGCCGAGCTGGAAATTGAGTAGTTGTGCTGTTCAAGGTCTTCGGGATCGTGATCGGGGTCGGCATCAAATGAAGACAGCCTGCCATCGCTTAGGTACGAGTTATTGTCCTCAACGGAAAATATTTGCTTCATGGTTCCTCCGCGATTTTCTTGGTCGTCCGTCTCCGGATAAGAATCGGGATCGGGATTAATACTTTCTTCTACCACATCAACGTTAACTTCAACATCGATATCAGTGTCAATGTCGGCATCAGTCACAGGTTGTTCCAATCCCAAAACCACTTCGCGGTGTATAGTTTGCTTGGTAATGACTGTGTGATGCGTTTGAGTCGTAGTCCTCGCCGTGGTCGCTGGCCTGGCTGAGGACTCTTGATCTTCAGAGACAATATCAACGATCTGGACATCGGGTGCCAGTAGCGAGGCCACGTCGAACTGACGCTTCCGTGTCTGCGAAAACATGTTTGCAATGGTCGTTGTCGTGGTAGAGTTGATATATGCAATGTGCTGATGCTGGCCATGTTGCTGCTGGACTTGGGCTGGTTGGATCACCTGATCCAGATGGTTGGCCTGTTGTCGTTGCATCACTATGGCCGGATCAGCACAGGAGTACTGTGACAGGCCGGGTGCTGAGCTCCGATTAAGGAACTGGCCTAAATACTGATGGTGGTAGGGATAACCCAGGGACGACAGTTGCACTGCGGACTGGGAGTTGGGCGGAGGTGGGGTTGTGAGATCCAAGGGCGGCGGGCTGGGCGAGTCAGTGCTGGCATCATCCACCGACAGACCCATATGCTTTCGGACTTTACGCTGAGCCTTACGACGTCTGAAATCGCCTTTTCGAAAATCATCCATGTTGGCTGGGTGTATTGCCCAGTAGTGCCCCTTGCCGTTGGCACTGCGACCAGATTTGATAAAACAATCATTCAGTGAGAGATTATGTCTGATGGAGTTCCTCCACCCCGGACCGCGGCTTCTAAAATACGGATAATTATCCAAAATATATTGGTAAATGTCTGACAGGACCAACTTCATCTCAGTTGAGCTCAAAATGGCCATGGCTATGAGACCAATGTAGCTGTGTTGCGGCTTAGGCTCCTCGGGTTGGAATATGCGTTGCGTTTGGGGGAAAAGTGAAATGGTTGAGAGCGCGGCCATTCGGTTTACTGCAGGAATATTGCCTGATGCATGGGGTCCGTAAGGACTTAGGTGCAGCCATGGAGCATTTGCGCCGGCGCCGGCGCCTCCGGTGCCTCCGTATTGGGGGCATCGAAATCGTTCAATATTAAGGGCGTAGTTGTACAGCTGCAGGCGATATTGCTCTAGAGCCATCGTCGTGGCTTGAGCTTGCGGATTTCGCGGGGTTCCAAGAGGATAGATGCTGGGCACAGTTTGCTTAGGCCCATGACCGTTGTTTGATGTGGTGCCTTGATCCTGGTCGGCCGTAGTCGCCTGCGAAGCACCCAAGTCAGAGTGAGCCATTTCCTTTCCTTACAGCCAGACTACAATGGTCTTTGCCCCATCAAAGGAGATCATCGAACCTGTTTAAAATAAAATAAAAACCATTCTGATTAACATTACTTAGTTATGTTTGAAACAAGACAATTTTGAGTAACAAGTATAACTGACAAATATTCTAAAGCACTGAGCAGCCGTATTTTTCGCTTACTTGAACACCATAAGAAGTCACTACATTCTACTTTTGTATGTAGAGTTTGATGAAAATATTTTTAATTTTTACGTTAAGTTAGATCATACAGCCCTTACAATCAGAAATAACAATATTTCTTTTTATGCTCAAAGTTTAAACGTTGAAGTTAATTTGGATGATCAATTTTTGGGACCCTTTAAAATTTTAGCAACGGACTAGAAGTTGACGAAAGTATATTTTGGTAGAAGGGTCAAGAAATAAAACACTCTAGTGCCTTAACTATAAGATACCCGTAACTCCGCTAAAGGGAGTGTGAGGGAGATGGAAATATGCAAGCGACCACTATTCTTAAATACACAAAAATTCACAATTATTTCCTAAAAATTAGTCCATTGTGTCCTAAAATCAAAGTACTATAGAATTCTAAAAATAAAATTTGCTTGCAGATCGGATAACCGCGCGAAAGACATATCGATTCCCTTCGCGGGTCAATTAAAATGTATGTTTATTCAAAATGATAAAAAATTTGCTTTATAAACAGTTAAAATAATATTTTTACCACGATATAGCCTGAGATGTTCATTATACCCGTTACTCGTAGAGTAAAAGGGTATACTAGATTCGTCGGAAAGTATGTAACAGACAGAAGGAAGCGTTTCCGAAAAGTGTATATATTCTTGATCAGGATCACTAGCCGAGTCGATCTAGCCATGTCCGTCTGTCCGGATGAACGCTGAGATCTCGGAAACTATAAGAGCTAGGCTATTGAGATTTGGCGTGCAGATTCCTGAGCTTCTTACGCAGCGCAAGTTTGTTTCAGCAATGTGCCACGCCCACTCTTACGACCACAAACCGCCCAAAACTGTGGCTCCCACAGTTTTGATGCTAGAATAAAAATTTTAACTGAAGTGTATTGTTCTCATCAATACCTATCGATTGACCCAAAACAAAGTTTGCCACGCCCACTCTAACGCCCACAAGCCGCCCAAACCTGTGACGCCCACAGTTTTCATGCTAGATACAAAATTTTAACTGAAATTCATTGGTCTCGCCAATACCTATCGATTGATCCAAAAAATTGGACACGCCCACTCTAACGCCCATAACGCTTAAATCTGTCTCCCGCCGGTAGGTGGCGTATTTTAATCTCGCTTTGCTGCTTGCATATCTCCATTTCCCTTTGATCCCTTTAGCTGAGTAACGGGTATTTGATAGTCGAGGCACTCGACTATAGCGTTCTTCCTTGTTTTTGTCTATAAATGTTATCCTCGTTACTCACAGAGTAAAAAGGTATATTTGATTCATCGGAAAGTATGTAACAGGTAGATGGAAGCGTTTTATAATGTATAATTGAAACTTATTTAGGCTCAAATTGATCCCAAAAATTTAATTTTAGGTGTAGTGTCTTTTTACCCACACTTATTAAGTTGACACTCAAAGAATATTTTTTTGTGTCTATATTCTTGAACAGGATCACTAGCCGATTCGAATTAGCCATGTCCGTCTGTCTTTCTGTTCGTCCGTCCGAATGAAGTCTGATATTTCAGAAACTATTTGCGCTAGAAAGTTGGGGTTAGGCATGCAGATCTAGCTTCTTGCGAAGTCCAAATTTATTTCATCACCCATCTACGCATTCAGCAGGGTGCCACGCCCATAACGCTAAAACATGTCTAGCGTCCACATTTTGTAATATTTTGTAAACGTGTAAATGAGATTTTGTTCAAACCGAAATATTAAAAAAGTTATAAGCAAATAAAGTGTGGAATCTTCCTCGGATTACCTCTATCTAAGTAACGGGTATCTAATAGTCGTGGCCATAGACTAAAGCGTTTTCTCTTGTTTTTAAATGGTAATTCATGTTTCAGTCATGTTTCTTTTTTTATGTGTTTACACCTTTTTATGGTGATTATTGCTCATATATCTGACAAATAGGAAAGCTTTCATAGATTACCACTAACGACCCCACACTTTAGGGGTTGCCCTTATATTACGTAATCATAAGTTTGCCGAATTCTAAAATGTAATCAATTTGTCGTACAAAAGAATACATGGTTAATGGTTTAATAAATACTGATGTCGAGATATTTCTCGCCAATTTTGAGCTAAGTGAAGATAATACTTGTTATACCCATCACACTCAGAGAAATAACCGTTCTCGATTCGATTTTCGTTCTGAAAAGTGAGACCAGATCGGTTTATGTTCTCGGTTTAAACATCGAATCGATCTTGATTTCGAGATGAATGGTTTTCGGATTTAAGCATAAAATGTTCTTGTCCCCAGACTCCATTCTTAAATAAAAATGCAATTTTTTTCAAGTTATACATATTTCAGCCTAAGGGCCTTCATTTGGAGGAATGGTTTCACAATATGGGATAACTTATAAATGTAGTTCCTTTTATTTCGGGCCTTTATGATGCTGTACTCGCGGAGCAGGTCCTTTAATTTTTCGTCACTTTTTATTTCACTCATCAACTAACCGCACACTGCGACTCAGGCTCGCAGCTAACTTCGATACTTTCCCGATAAATCCGTATCTCTCTCCTCTCACTTTCATTTTTTCAACGTCTTATTCTCACTTCCTCTTTTAACAACAACAAAACCGAGATTGCTTTTTATTCGGAATAATAAAACCGACATAGCTTTCGCTCAATATCGAAAAGAAAAAGTGAGAAGACAAACGTCTCGAACTTAGAAGAAACGATCTCGGTTTTTTCGATCTAAATTTTTCTGGGTGTACTTTTGTAACTATAAAAGATATAACTTTACTATTTAAAGTAGTTACTTATCCATCTCTCATGGATTTGCTCTTTAAAATAGTTTTTAATGTGTGGATTTCGGAAAAAACCCTTTGCTGCTTTCATATCTCCATCTCCCATTCGCTCTCTTCAGTTTAAAATTGGCACAAAATATCACGACACCAATATTCATTAAACCATTAAGCATATATAAGCTGCTTTTTCTGAGGCAAATGTGTTCTTCACTTCCAGACGAATTATTTGGGGTTGGAATGCGTTCAAACAAAAAATAAATAAATAAATAAATCCAATCCCTACTCGAGTGCTACGTCAGATTCTCTAGTGATAGATCACCGACAATAGTCCAAAAAAACACCTAACAAACCAAAGACCAATTTTGCTCACCTTTAGTTGCTTATGCAACACCTACTACTGTGCGAAAAAAGTAAGGTAAATTTGTTTGTAAAGTGAAAATTTTTATTTTCCCTTCTACCTTATCCACTTTTAAATAATCCCCTCTCGATAAAATATTTTTCCAGTCCTCGAAACATACAAAATAGTCCCTTCCCGGTATAGCCACCAGCGCATTCTCGATTTTATCTCCTCAACCGACTCGAAACGCGTTCACCGGAGTGGTCTCTTAAGTCTTCAGAATAGCAAGAAGGCATACGGAGCCAAATCAGGCGAATACGGTTGTTGTGGAAACGCAAAAAAACCGAGAAGACCCGATAACTTTATAACTCTTAAACTCCACCACAGTGTAACAAAACTAGTCAAAACAAGAAAGAAAGTTAACTTCGGCACGTTTCTATACCCTTGCAGGTCGTTCCCGTGGGAGAATTGAAAGTGCAAAGCGTTCCGATTTTTAGAAAACAAGAACTAATACCAAAAATATTATTTGTTGTTTTATTTAAATTTACTAACGTGTATGTTTGCCGAAATCAAAATATTACACCCTTTGTATTATTAAGACATTAATTATCTGATCGTTCCTATGGCAGCTATTTGATGAAGTCGTCCGATTTTATTAACATTTTATTTGAAATTCTGAAACATTAAAAGAACGATATTCCTAAGGGTAGAAGAGAGAAAAGAACGAAGCTATAATTCTTAAAGAAATATTTGTTTATGATTCCTGCGGGAGCTATAGGATATTGTTGGCCGATCGCGCTCGTTCGTACTTATTACTACCTGCAATATATATAAGACTTTTAGGAAGGTTTTATCCCGATAGCTTTAAAACTGCGGACAGACAGACGGGCATGGCTAGCTCGACTCGTCTTGTGATGGTAATCAAGAATATATATACTTTATGGGGTCGGAAACTTCTCCTTTATTGTGTTGCAAACTTCTGAGTGAAATCATTATACCCTCTGCAAGGGTATAAAAATGTCCCGATCTACTACTTAACTAATTTTTTTCTACCCCACTTCATTTTTGTTCATTTAAAATGTTCTACTTTAATCAGAACTTTTGCTAATCCACCAAATTTCTAAAAAATTATCGAATGAAAGAAAGTAAGAATACCTTTCGACTGCTTATCCCACGTTGTGATCGGACTATCTATGTATGGCTAACGACTGTAACGTAAAATAGGGTTTTATTACGACCGTCTTTGTATCTTACTGTGCGGCCTACGGCCTGACCAATGCTCAACACAATAATGATCTTCGGAGTTTATGTTAATAAGTGCTCCTCTTAACGCCACTTTTGAAGTGATGTGCAGTTTTTATTTGTTTTGAATGATATATGTAGTAAGAGTACTCCTCAGCTTTAAGTAATTCAATATTTACGGTGATTGGTATATCTGTGGAAAAATCCGATAGCAAATTATGAGGTGCGGCACACATGTTATTACCAAAAAAAAGCTGAGAAAAAAATGACAAATCTACAAAAACAGCTAATTGATAAAACTGAAGTTTTCAAACTATATCTGTCCAGGCAGAACTGGTAGAGGTGTTAGTAAAAAAGGTTGCTAGAAAAACGTGGTTCTAAAACTGAATCAACTCAATTAGGGTATTCAATTGCGTTGCAATCGTTTGAAAAGTGTAAAAGTGTAAGCAGTTCCAACAACAATTTCCATACAAAATAGTTTTCAAGGCCTACAACACCCCAGCCTATGTATACAAATCTGTTGTACTTGTGTAGAAATAGGGGGTTAATAATGGGTAGGAATTTTATCTAAAATACTAAAAATATACTGAAAAGTTGGGTTTTAATGACAGAAAATATCATAGCCTTCTTTCACAAAAATTTAAAAGTTGGCGTTATTTTGTACGTCAATTTCCTGCAACGATATTTTAAAATAGAGGGCGTTCACAATTCTCGTCTGGCAAACTTACAAAGTTTACACTTTTGCAACGCAATTGAATACCCTAAATATAAAAATTAAACAAATGCACAGTAGAATGCTTTAATCGACGGTGCGCTAGAAATGAATTTATTTTGATCTACTCGAGATTTTCGGTTGCATTCCGCGTACGCCAAATGTGGAAAATTATAAAAAGTATTAATTTCATTAGTCAAATATTGATTTAAACAAGAAAGGAAGTTAACTTCAACAAGCCGAAGTTTGTATACCCTTGCAGCTATAAATATTAAACTTAAATATACAATAAATGATATTCCCAATAGTATAAGACAATATGTCAAAAAACACCGAAGCTCTAATTTGTTTCATATTATTTTCGTTAGGAGGTTATATGTTAAAAAACACCAAATATATAATTTAAAAAAAATTTTTTTTCCAGTTATTCCTATGGGAGCTATAAGATATAGTTGTCCAATCCGGCTGGTTCCGACTTATATACTACCTGCATAAGAATAAAAGCTATAAATTTGCTATTTTTCATGTAAATTCTTGAGCTTATTGCATCCTATCCGCGATCTCAACATATGGTTATTTCAGTTAAAATATTTTTCTACCATAAAAACTGGCTTTTATAGTTTCCGAGATCTCAGCATCCATACGGACGGACAGACAGGCAGTCGGACAGACGGACATGGCTAGATCGACTCGGCTATTGATGCTGATCAAGAATATATATACTTCTTGAGGTCGGAGACACTTCCTTCTAGCTGTTACATACTATTCCCCGAATACAATACACTCCTTTACTCTACGAGTAACGGGTATAAAAATAAAAACAAGTCTTGGAATAAAAAATAAACTTACGTTATTCGTAACGTAAAAGTGTATAATGTATTCGCTCTATAAAGTCTAGAATGTTGCAATCGCATAATTTTGTGTTAACGTTTGTGTTAACGTAAGAGTTACGATAGTTGTTGTACTGTAAACAAGAGAGAACGCAATGGTCGATGGCCTCGACTATCGTATACCCATTGCCTAGCTAAAGGGTACGGGTAGATATGGAGATATTCACGCAAAAAACAGCTGTTTCCGAGATTGCACACCACACCACCTAGTAGTATGTTCCTTTCCTTGCTTAAAACTTTTTAATGAATGTTTAAATTTAAATAATTTAAATATTGACATGTAGATGGGTACTAAAAATCGCATTTACACTCTTACAAAATCTAAAAAAAAGTGAGCATTATCTAATGCTATAGCCTCATGGGCGATTGTGGCACATCGATGAAACAAACTTACGCTGCTTAAGAATATCTACAATCTTTATGAGCTTATGTAGTTTTTTGATGTCTCAGCGTTCATACGGACAGTCGGACATGGCTAGATCGACTATTTTCGTAATTATATAACCCATAAAATATATTTAGCGAACTACTTGTTTTTGTAAATATATATAATATTGACAATGAATTGCGAGTCCAAGTGCACGGAACGCTAGACCCAGATGTGAATTATAAGCGACTTTTGTGTGGAAGGTTTTTCGTTAGGGTACTTTTTTGTAGTAATTCAACTATTAACTATTGCAATAACAAAACAGACATGTCACGTGAACGTTACTATGTTAACAGTAGTTAAACGATTAAGGAGTAAATAAAGCAAAAACAAATACATATATAACTATTTTAAGTAGTGTTGTACATTTTTATAGATACATAACTATATATACATATATACATAACTATACATTTTAAAAGATTTTGTAAAAGTGTAAATGTGATTTTGTTTCGTTTATTAAAAGAGCCATCTAAATGCCCAAAATTAATTAAATCGGAACATTCACTAAACAGTTATGAGCAGTCTAAGTTTTCAACGCCAGGAAGAGCTAGTTCGCGAAATCGAAAACGATCGCTTGCCGCTGGCATATATTCATCTCCGTCACACTCCCTTTAACTGAGCAACGGGTATCTGGTGGTCAAAGCACTTAGCTATAGCGTACTTTCTTGTTTCATTCTAAGTCCATCGGAATCTGCTGTGTAAGCAATATAGTTAGGGGGCGCTTTCAAAAGAAGTACTTCAATAGAAATATTTAGATTTTTTGGAAAAGGTTTTAGGTTTTAACCTAAGTTATTTATTTCCTGTCGAACTTACATTTTATAGGCCAAAAACTTGTCCATATTATTATTATTGTTATTATTCACTGTCACTAAGTAGGTAACCGTTTATCGAACAAGTTACACATAAACAACACATAACACTTTAAGCACAGGTTTCTTTGTCGGGCGCACAAGCTTAACAATACTTGTGTTGTAAATATTTTATTTACAGTATCATGGGCAAAATGTTGACGGAAATCAGGAACGTGCGGTCGACGCGGTGTTCGAATTAGGTCTGAGTCCGTCCAAAATGGCTGAGGGCTTGGCCATAAGGGTGCAAGCAGTGCGAGTGTCTTGCAGGCCACGCCTCGCCTTGGATTGCCGTTTCCCATTGGCCCAAACAATCCCGGCGCGCAGGGTGGCATCCAGATGTAATCGGTGTTCTGTGGCCTGTCCTCTTCAGTCTATTCATGGCATTAGCGCTGTCTCTGTTAGGCATTTTGAAAGTTCGGAGGGGCACGAACAAAGCGATACACCTACACCTATCTTGTTCTAGCACTCGCACTTCCGATCAGGGAAGGAAATCATGAACTACTTGCAGTAAGTTTTAATTCCCACTGTAGGCACTGCAGTATATACAGAGCTGATATACATCCAAGTAATTTTATGTGAATTGTTTTCACATGTATAGATTGAGGAACAGCGAATTTACATTATGGATAATCAATAAAAGCGCCATCAGATTGCTTATAAACGGGATTTCCTTTAAATTAATTTGTTTTTTCAAAACACGCCAATAAAACAAAAAAACGGAGCACATGCCGAACTAATGATTTTATGAGGTTTACGCGCTCATATAAGAATAAAAGGTCACCGGTATTTATTATTATTGTCCCTAAATTAAGTTAAGAATCGTGTTTTGTTATAGCGCAATCGTCTTTAGCAACCACAACCAAAGATGCCTTCAGGATACTTCGGCCTAAACCTTTTTCTTTCCAAATTATTGTATATATTGCTGAAGATAGGAAATTAAACTATCTCAAAATAAGAAAACCTGAACCATAAATTCTTCAGCATACCGTTTCTTTACAAAAGAAATAGTTTTACTGGAGCACAACAACTAACGCTTCAAAAAATATAAATATGCTAGTAAGGTCGCCCGCAGCTTCGCCAGCGGAAATTTCGTAAATAGATCGCTGTATAACCCTATACTTTTAACATGCTTTTATCTTTGCTACTTAAACTAAATTTAAAGCATTCCTCATCTCCACACCACCATAGAGGTAGAGGTTATGGCCCGTTTTTTTGTGGTTTACAATTCTGCAAGACTTTCCTATAAACGATGTCTTTGGATATTTCCCATATACGTATATATACTATTGTTAATAATTATTTTAATTTTATTAACATTAATGTATCGGAAAGGTGTGAGGGAAGGCCGTAATTCTATTAGGAGTAGGATAGGAATGCAATATCAATTTGAGGATAACAAAATTAGTTTGTAATTTAAATTTTAGTTTTGCCCTTTGAGGGAAATGTGTTAAAGCTGTTTAAGATTTGCTAATGAAATATTCTTACAAAAAAATTTTATTGCTGCAGGGGCTACTTGCCAGTTTTTTAGTTGTACCTCCATAACTTATTTAAGATAAATAATGTAAGGGAAATGTCTGTAGGTTGCGTTGTCCTGTAAAGGACAGTCAGCTTTCTCCAATATTAAAAAATTTTTTTTTGCGATTGCAAATTTTATATAGTATTTGGTAAGCTTACTCACCGAAGGAAGTTTAATACAGTCCTTATCCATATTTTGTCTATAAAGTTGATTATTCACAGTTGTTTAAAATGGAATCAAAAATCAATAACATGATTAAATTTATCTAAAGATGAAAGCCGCACCGAATAAAAATATTAATAACAGCCGTCACTCCTGGAGTAAAAGCGAATATTGCGTTGGAAAATATGTTTAAGGTAAAAGGAAGGTTTTTAGACCCTCTGAAGTTATTTATTTTTGACTTGGATTACGACCCGAGTCGATCTAGCCAAGTCCGTCTGTCCGTCAAACTATAGGCTGAATGACCACTTACGTGGCCATAAATCCATTTTTCAAAAATCGTTACGCAAGTGGATCAATAATTGAAAGTTAAATAACTGTTTAGAACGGTTTTAACAAAACATGTTTGATGACATCGTAACAAAATAGATTCAACTATTTGAACACAGATATAAAGTAAGTTTCATCTAGTTTCACATTAAAGATTACACAACAGTGCAACAACTGTTACACTCTTGTTCATATCAATGTAATCTTAAAGTGCACTTTTGCTCACTTTTTCTTAAATTCGAATTTAAAGCCTAGTTCTAAGAATTTGTGTATGAATAATTTTGATTCTAATAATTAAAAAAAAATATTTTAGACCACAATTTTTTTTTAAAAAGGCATGGACACGCATTTTTGCAGCAATAAATATATTTTACTTAAACTCAAGGTCACTTAGCCTATAGTGCGTCCGTATGAACGCTGAGATATCGAAAAATAAAACATCTAAAATGTTGGGATCTACTCTGTAGAATCTGGTAGAGGTCCGTAATAAAGACCTATATCGGTCTTCATTTATCAACACAGAAATGATACGTCATATAGTATATACTAACTGCAACAAAAAGACTACTTTTGGGTGAGGTTCAACGCGATAGCTTTTAATCTAACCTAATCTAATTTTAGGACTTATGACCTAAAATACCAGCCAAGGATGTACATAAAACCATATTATTATTAGACCTGCGTGTTAAAAAAAAATTATTAGCTGTTAACTCGTGACAATAATTTTGCTTTAACAGCTTGATAGTTAAATCTATCTTTTCTTGTTAAAACTGTAGTTTATTTTTATCATTTCATAAAATATATATACTGCAATGAGCCTTTGAGGTATTTTGCTGCTCTCTGTGAACGACAGTACAGCGTGCGAAGGCGACTACCAGAGCTGTTCCCAATTGATTACTTTGTTAATAAATTCGTAGTTTCAATAGCATTACAATAGCATTACTATTTTTTTCAATATCATTGAAAAAAAACGCAAAATACCGAACATTTTTTTAAAAAGTATTGTATAATAGTATTATACAGTTTTACTTTACAAATTTGATTACCAGTATTATTTAAATTCTTAAGAATGTCGGTCCGTTGAGACCGTCAAGACCGTAAGCTAGAGTATTGTTTTAAATTAGTTTGACATTGAAAATGAATATTCCATATCCATATCCATATCCATATTTTTTTTGGAAAATTTTAGAATTTTTATCAATTACCCCTTTAAACATTAAAATTTAAAATTGGATTAGCAGTCCATGAATTTACAATTCCGGCTCCCCTAAGGCGACCAAAAAACTATTGACTTTCAAATCTTATTTCCCTTTAAAATTTGTTCTATAAATGTCCTTAGTTAAGTGTTTCACTTGTTATGGGCTTCCCTTAAGGAAAAGATAACTTCTTTTTGTAAAATTGTCGCGCTAGTCTGCTCACATGATTAACACAACACCAAAGCTTTTACGTTTCAGTTTTTAAGTAATTATTAATTTAATTTAATGTATCTAACAGGACAAAAGAAGAAATTTACTACATGGCGAGTTTTCGACCCAGAATATTAGTGGCACTCTGCCTTAGCTGGATGTTTTGTTTTTTGGCCGTTCTCTGGAAAGAACTTCAAGTTTACTCCAGAAGATCCCTAAATGCACTGGTATTTCAACAATTGTATTATTTTAAATCTACCTAATCCCGGTTGAAGGACTGCAAGCCCGTATGCACATTGTTAAAATCTTAATCTTGTCGACTCCTAGTAAAACTTGTCACCTTTGTGGGACTGGCGGATGCACAACCACTTTGAAAGATTGCCAGCAATGCGATTAAGATTTGCCAAATAATCCCCCTTTGTCATTCAATACTACCATCTCATCTTTCTAGGACCGAAGGACTTTATGAGTAAACATTTTGTTCGAATCATTATTATTATTTGTATTCTACACTTTCTTTTTAAAATCGGATGAGATTATAGTGGCATCTTTTATGAAGCTAAATGGGGTTCTATACAATGGCATCCTCATGGAAACCACTTTAAAGTGTTCTTTGGTTTTAAAGGATGCTTTTCCTCACATGTTTACGTAAATAAACAATATGCACATTTAGTGTGTCTGTTGATTTCAGTAACCTACCTGATTTAAATATTCTTCTTTAATAAAACAAAAATAGTGGTATCTTTAAAAGTCGAACTTTACACAGATATGAAAGTTGGTAACTGGTGACCCAATACAGAATATAGGATCAATACAGGATCACTAGCCAATTAGTTCTAGCCATGTGCGTATGCCCATACTTTTGCTGCACAGAGAAAAAAACGGAACAATGCCCGTTTGATATTGTTTAATAAATGTAAGCAAATGTAAATAAAATTTAAATCAAATCGGACGACTTTATCAAATAGCTGCCATAGGAATGATCAAAGAATTAATGTCAAAATAATACATAGACCGTTATATTTCGTTTTCGGTACACATACACGGTAGTAAATTGAAACGGAACATTATCATTAAATTATTATGATTATTTTTTAGCTTTCTAAAAATCTGAAAGCTCTGTACATGCAATCCTCCCACGGGAACGAACTGCAAGGGAATAGAAACTTCGGCGTGCCAAAGATAGCTTCCTTTCTTTTATTTTAAAAGGTAGAGTCACTGGTACATCAAAGCCGCGTCATTTGAATATAGTGTTTGATCTGTATCGCAAGTAAGATTATAACTTTAAAGTGATAGACAACTGGCCAAGTCGGGTGATTACCACTCGAAAAATAAGATCAAGAATATATATACATTATGGGGTCGGAAACGCTTCCTTCTACCTGTCACATACTTGCCATCGAAAAAATGTTAGTGGCATTTTTTTATCCAGTCGGCTAAGAAGCGTGTTAAGAAATCCAAAAAATGTTGTCAAAGTTTGTACAACTATATCCCAAATAGCTATATTTAATGTTTCGTTTCGTACCCCAGTAATTTTGGAGGAATCGAAAGAAACAAAAAAGGCATCGATGCCATCGGGCCGCTGCCTACCAGTATGACTTATCATATTCTTTAACACTGGCTATCGCCGAACTCCATCTCACAGTAGATTGAAATGTGTGAATTTATTGGAAATTGATAAGAATCTTTTCTTTGAATTAAAGTGCAGGTGCGTTCAGATTTTTTCTTTCTATTAACGTTACGGAAAAGTACAACAATTAAAATTGAATCGG